TGGTGACCGCCTGGATGGTTGTTCACAGAGCAGAAAGTAGTGAGAGAGAAGGGCTGGCGATAACGAGGGGATTTAGGTCCTTCTATAAAAACAGCAGTTTCCAATCAGAAAATCAGATGACAGGTATCCAGCTATCCAACCCACAAAGGGCAAAGTCCCCCACCCTGGCAGAGTTTGATTGTTGGCATGAAGACTGCCTAGAGGTAGAGCGAGCCCTTTCTAGGTTAACATAATCAGATGGATACAGGACACCTGCCACTCACTGCAAAGCGCTTCACAGAGCTCGCTGGCTGCATTCATCTGCTTAATAAAGCCAGAATCTGAAACAAACCCTCTTTACCCAGTTTCTCAGAGCCCTGTTGCAGAGAACATGCCTTTAATTAGAGCCAGAATGCACAGTGGTGGGGTTCAGCTATACTGTGGTTTGGTGCTGCAAGGCAGAAAAGTTACCACGTATCTTCCCAGGCAAGCAAAGCGGAGATGGTGTTTCATATCAGATATCCCTTCAGGAAAAGAACATATTGTGGCTGAGAAAAACAATGCAAAAGTCTGGGTTAATTTTTGGTTTGTGTCCTTAAAAATAATGGAACACTTGTTTCTGAGCAGTGTAATAATTGGAATATTTAGACCTCACAATAACAGATAAGGGTATTTTAGATATGAAGAAACTGAGGCTCAGAGAGGATGAGTAACTTGCCCAAGGTCACACAGTTGCAAAGAGCAGGACTGGGATTCAAACCCAAGTTATTTAAGTCTTTTTTTATTTAAGAACTCACTTTCTGAACTTGTGTGCATCCTTGAAACATGTGTTTTGGAAGAAGAGGTTGCAAGTCACTGTGTCCAACAGCCAAGGAAGAGAAGAGAAGGATCATTCTGTGAGATCAGTCTCTGCAGACAGCCTTTAGGCTCTTGAGTCGAGATGTATCTCCTTTGAGGATCTTTCCTTCAGTGATGTATAAGGGTGTTCCCTGCAGCACTGTTTAAAACAAAGCAAAAAGAGGGAAGCTACTTGTCCCCAACATGGTAAAAAAAAAAAAGTGGAAGTGTTACTCACTCAGTCGTGTCTGACTCTTTGTGAACCCCTGGACTGTACCTCTGTCCATGGAATTCTCCAGCATGGTAACTACCTGACTATGCAAGAACCAGTTAACTATAGTTTTAACTATACAGCTCACTTGTAGTCACCCAACAAAGCTGTAACACAGAAAGAGAAGATTCCATATGTTCTGACATGGACCAATCATCAACATGTAATTGAAAACAGCAAGGTACAAAGCAATGTACAGTTTGTTACCATTTGTGGAAAAGAAGGGAAAGAAGGCCTATATGTATGTTTTTGCTTGTATAGACAAAGAACATCTCTGGAAGAATATACAAGGAACCAGCACCATTCATCACCTCTGTGCAGGGACATGTCACTGGGGGACAAAGGTGATGGGCTTTTCACCCTAGGTCCTTTTGTACCTTCTGATTTCAAAATATGTAACCATATTACCAGGTGATTTCAGAACATGTGACCCTATTACCAGATGATTATATGCAGACAACATGATTTTTTTTACATGGATTTGTTGATCTGTTTTTGGCTGCGCTGGGTCGCCGCTGCCATTTGTGGGCTTTCTCCAGTTGTGGCGAAGAGAGATTACTCTTCAGCTGTGGTGGCTTCTCCTGTTGCAGAGCATGGGCTCAAGAGCGTAGGCTCAGTCGTCGTGGCGCACTGGCTGAGGTGCTCCAAGGCACCCAGGGATCTTCACGGACCAGGAACTGAACTGGTGTCCTTGGCATTGTGATGTGAATTCTTAACCACTGGACCACCAGGGAAGCCCGGCATGATTCTATACATAAAAAACCCTAATGATGACATAGAAAAATATTAGGACTTATAAATGAATTCAGCAAGGTAGCAGGATACAAGATTCACACACAGAAATCGGCTGCATTTCTTTACACTACCAACAAAACATCACAAAGGTGATGTAAGAAAAAAACACAATACCTTTCAAATATCACACTCCAAAAAAATAAAATACTTAGGAATAAACCTGACCAAGGAGGTGAAAGACTCTACACTGAGAACTATAAAACATTAATAAAGGAAACTGAAGATGACTCAAAGAAATGGAAAGATATCCCATACTCCTGGATTGGAAGAATTAACATTGTTAAAATGGCCATACTACCCAAATCAATCTACAAATTTAATGCAATCTTTATCAAATTACCCATGACATTTTTCACAGAACTAAAACAAATAATCCTAAAATTTATATGAAGCTGTAAAAGACCCAGAATTGCCAAAGCGATCTTGAAGAAAAAGAAGCAAGCAGGAGGCATAACCTTTTCAACTTCAGACAATACTACAGTAAATTAAAACAGTGTGGTATCTGCACAAAAAACAGACATGTGAGGTTCAATGGAACAGAACCGAGAGCCCAGAAATAAACACACACACCTATGGTCAATTAATCTTCGACAAAAGTGGCAAGAATATACAAGGGGAAAAAGTCTCTTCAGCAAGTGGTGTCAGCAAAGTTGGAGACCCACATGTGAACTGATGAAGTTAGAACACACCCTCTTACTATACACAAAAATAAACTCAAAATGGCTTAAAGACTTAAACATAAGACATAACACCATTAAACACCCAGAAGAGATCATAGGCAAAACATTCTCCGACATAAATCGTACCAATGTTTTCTTAGGTCAGTCTCCCAAGGCAACAAAAATAAAAATGATGCAACCAGTAAGGGGTTAACTTTCAAAATATACAAACAGCTTATACAACTCAAGAATTCAATCAAAAAGTGGACAGAAGACCTAGATGTTTCTCCAAAGAAAAAATACAAATGGCCAATAGGTACAAGACAAGATGCTCAACATTGCTAATTATTGGAGAAATGCAAATCAAAATTACAATGAGGTACCACCTCGCACCGGTCAGAATGGTTATCATTAAAAACTCTACAAATAACATGTAAGAGATGATGTGGAGAAAAAGGAACCCTCCTACACTGTTGGTGAGAATGTAAGTTGGTACAGCCACTGTAGAAAAATGTGTTGAGGTTCCTCAGAAAACTAAAAATAGAATTACCAGCAATCCCTCTCCTGGGCATATATCCAGACAAAACTCTAATTCAAAAAGATACATGCACCCCCTATATTCATAGCAGTTCTACTCACAATAGCCAAGATATGGAAACTACATATCCACTGACAGATGAATTGATAAAGATGTGATACATATATACAATGGAATACTCCTCAGTCGTAAAAAAAAAGAATGAAATAATGCCATTTGCAGCAACATGAATGCAAACAGAGCATCATATTAACTGAAGTAGGTCAGAAAAAGAAAGACAAATACCATATGCTGTCACTTATAGGTGGAATTTAAAATATGACATGAACAAACCTATGAACAAACCTACGAAACAGACTCATGGACACAGAGAACACATTTATGGTTGCCAAGGGAAAAGGGATTAGGGGAGGGGCTGAGCGAGAGGCTGGGGTTAGTAGATGTAAGCTATAATATACAGAATGGATAAATAACAAGGTCCTACTGTACAGCACAGAGAACTATATTCAATGATAAAATATAATGGAAAAGTATATTAAAAACAAAAAGTATATACAACTGAAGGAAATGGCAACCCACTCCAGTATTCTTGCCTGGAAAATCCCATGGACAGAGGAACCTGGCAGGCTACTGTCCACGGGGTTGCAAAGAGTTGGACACAGCTGAGTGACGTCACTTCACTTTGCTTCACCACAGAAAGTAACAACACTGTTATCAATTGTACTTCAATTAAAAAAAAATAATAATAAAAAAACAAAAACAAATAAGCTGTCACAGCTAACCAGAATTTTTGAGTTGGTCTCTGGACATGAGTCTGCCATCTCCCCAGATTGTCAGCTTTTCTGATAAAAGCACCTTTCCTTTCTAAAAAAAGTATTTATCTATACAATTCTAGAAATATTTGTATCCCATGCAATGTATAAACAAAACACATGGACAGGGGATAAACAGGAGACTATTACATCAAGATGGTAGTAATCATCCTTCTATTTCTCCAGAGTTTTTTGATTTGGTTATAATGGCTATTTTTTTCAAGATTTAAAAAAAAAATTATTTATTTTTATTCATTTGGAGGATAATTGCTTTACAATATGGTGTTAGTTTATAATGGCTATTTTTAAAGTATTATTTTCTATGTTTAACTTATTCTTCCTTGACAGCACCAGTATTTCAATCAGTAATCCTGCTGAGAAAGATGGAAGTGAAGACTAGGGACACCAGAATCCCAATGTACAGAAGATTCAATAATGGAAAAACTTACCATCGCTATGAAATACCTGTAATATAAATAAAGAACTACAAAGAATGGTTCTATAGGCAGGCAGGAAAAAGGGAGAGGAAAATACTTTTCCATCTGGAAACAAATCACTGAATGACATAATGCACAACCAGCTTCCTGCTGGAGCTCCTTGTTCTAAATAACTACTCTGCAGCTGCCTGTGTTCTCCTTCCTTCTCATCACTGGTAACCAAGGATACCACAGGTTTTCCTATGCTTCTGTTTCCCAAACATCAAACAAGTTTTGTTTAAAATAGAAAAGCAGCAAAAGAGAAATGGCTCTTAATTAAAAAAAAAAAAAAGCATATCAGGTTCTCAGACAATCACTGCCTGTGTTTTCTGACATTAGGTAAAACAGATACTTTGGAACTCCAGCTGAAAGAAGGGAATTCACTCCATTCCCCAAACCAGGAAGCAGTGACTCATCTCTGAAATGAAAAGGAGACACGCCAGTCAGGGGCTTAACAGAGCCATCTGCTGCGGTCATGATCTTGGGCTTGGCTTCTGAGGCAGACATTCACTTGAGTATATCATCTGATACAGTGACTTTCTTGGTTGCGATTTATGAGCTGCCAGTGTTTACTTGTGAGACTGTCTGGAGCTGGAAGGAAAGGAAGATAAATATACCAAAGCCCAGCTGAGCAACTGATCGGTTTTACATTTTATTTTCAGGAAATGACATCTTGTTTTCACAAAGAAGAGGTATGCCATCCTCTCAAATAGGCTGCCTTTGCCTTCAGGGGCAGCAATAGGGGTAATACCCAATTTGTCCCAAACAAATGTAACAGAGGTACCAAAACAATAACAACAACAAACTTAAAAATTACAACAGAAATATATAACCCATACAACATGTAGTGAAACAGAGTCTCTCAAGTACCCTGAAGCAGTCGGGGCTGCAGACAATGGTGGCAGCAGGGACGGCCCAGGCATAGGCTCGTGATGGAGGGTTTCCTAACTCAGTCTGTCCCAAGTGGCTCCATCCCATGCTCTCAGAGCTGCTATAAGATCTGTCCAAGAGAATCCTCCAGACCATCCGAAGTTCCCAGTGCCTGGCAGTCTGTCAAACACCCCTGGAGCACCATCTTCAGAACAATCTCTTTCCTTTGGAGAGAAAAAAAAAGAGAGAAATAGAGGAGCCTGCATGTCCCTCCCTGGCCTCCCTAGCCCTTTTCCCACACAGCAGCCACAGTGAATCAAGACACAGATGTGAGATCACATCCCTCTGCTTACAGCCCACCCCTCTCTTCTTCCAGAGTAAAAGCTGAAGTCCCTCCAAAGGCCTATAAATCCCTACTCAGCCTGCCCTCTGCCCAACCTTCTGACCTCACTTCCTGTTCTCCCTGTCGCTCATTCTACTGCTACACCACCTCCATGCTGTTCCTCCAAAACCCTCTCCCCAGACGGCAGCATGCACCGCCTTCAGAACGTGACTCAGATACCGCCTTCTCCTCAGTGACTGCCCGGGCTGCTCCATCAAAAACTGCCAGCACCCTCCCCGTCACTGCTGGCCTCTTTCTTGCTTTATTAGCGAGAAAGCACAAGTCACATCTAACTAATCAGATTTCACTTCTTCTGTTCCTCATACCTAGAAGAGTGCCAGGCACAAAGCTGGTCTTCAGTTAATACTTTCAGAGGAAGGAAGGAAATACATATACAGTAACAGGCACAGAGAGGTGCACCAGAGAAGAAGGGCGTGGGAGGGGCTATTCACTGGCCTCTAGTGTTTTCCATTAGCTTCTGCTTCCTCGATCCCAGAGAAACAGGGATTTGGGCTTACACCAAAAGCAATCTCAACACTTTGAGATTAAAGTGTGGAATGTTTTGGTATGCAGATTGAAAGGGTTATTACATTTATATATAAGGGAATAATAAGGGTTATTGAGGAGACATCCATCAAGGGACAAGGCAAGGAATGACAGTAAGTGATAAAAGAGAAGGGAAGGAAAAAGGGAGGGGCAAAAATGAGAGGGTGGTGATGGAGAATTATTTTTTTTAAAAGCTTCTATTAACAAATCTGCTAATTTTTGATCCCGTGATAATTTTGCAAAGGATAAATTTTTAAGAGTCCAGCATTATAAACTATGTGAGTGCATGTACGTGGACACCTGCCCCCACCTCATGCCAATCTTGCTGAGAGCCACTTTATCTTAGGCAAACACTGTCCTTATACCAGGTGGGCATGCTGACTTCATGCACGTGACCCTCTCGGTTCTTGGTGCAGGACTGGGTACTTGTTGGGAACCCCCTATAGGTCCAGTGGTTAGGACTCCAAAATTCCACTGCCGCAGGCACCAGGTTCAATCCCTGGTCAGGGAAATAAGATTTCATCTGCAACCCACACGGTAGAGCCAAAAAAACATAAAATAAAACATCTTGCTAACAAGTATTCTCTCTGGATGAGGTCAACTTGGCAGACATTGTTACTGCTGCTATTCCCTACACAGTCTTTTAAGAGGCTCTGTCTTTCAACAGGTGATGATGGGGAATAACCAGGAAAGCCTGCCAGGTGCTCTCTTCAGAGACAGAGTTTCTCCTGTCCTGTGTCTGGATCACCCTCCTCCTAGCCTATAGGAAGCCGGCAAGAGCCACAGGCTATGTGATCTCACCTGAGCCAATCTTCCTAGAGACCACCAATCTCTGGACGGACATCTCTCTCATAGATTCAGGAAAGCTGCGGTTCATAAACCTTCCTCCCCACCTCCACTCCCCTGAAAGGCCACAGACAACTCCCACTAGCAGCCTTGCTTTCATATTATAGTACCAAGGGATCTGGGAGCTGCAATTTGAAAAAGTCTCTGGACTGAAAATCACTGTTCTAAAGGACCGGCAAGATTTTATTCTAGATAATCTGCTTTTGTCTTTTTTGAGCACAACTCAAAGAAACTCCGAGGGAAAGCTTAAAGTGAGAATGTTAACACTCATGTCAACCAACCAACACTTAATGAGAATAGAACAAATGGGGAAGGGGGAGCAACTGACAGAAGACTCAGCTCCAGCACCTCCCCAGCTCATGTCACAAAATGTCTTTCCTTCAGAAAACCTCATGTCAATATCCCAGAGGGCTGCAACTGCTCATGCGACACATATTAACATTCATTATCTGCCCCAGCTCCAGGGCACCCTTTCTCCAACACAGGATCTGGCACCCTAACACTCTCCTCCTCCTCCCCTCTTCCGGATAATCTGGCCTCACAGACTTTACTGAGGATCTATGGCTAATCAATCATGAGGCATTACTCCTCCCGTGGGGATATGGGCCTTGAAGACACCAACCAGTCAGGCAGGCCTGGAGTAGCACTGCTCTTGGTGAAACCAGACAGGCAGACTCTCCTCTCCGAATTCGTGATAAGCGCTCCCCTACCCAAGAGGAAAATGGCCCTGCCAGTGTCAGAACTGTGACAATTACAGGCCTGCCAATTCTAGTTCCCAGATCCTACATTTGGTCCTTTAAAAATTCCCATGCACTGGGGATTAAACTGGCTTTCAATTGGCAAAGAAGGTTGGTATCTGAACTGAGAATTCCCTCTACACTCCACACTGCAGCCCGCTGAAGCTGCTGACAGCTCTGGCATCTGTTTCCCTAAGTCAGGCCTCAGCACCTCTGTCTTGTCTCTGGAGAAAACGTTGAAGCTGCACTCGCTGCGATAACTGCAGAAACCAAGGCTGGTGCCAGAGCTGCTCTCAGCCAGCACGAGCATCAGGGAGGCCGATTCAGTTTACTTCGTTGGCTCCCAGTGTCACCAAAAAGGTACCTGCTTTAGCCTTCAGAGAGAAAAGAGGGGTCTGACATTATCCACCTTGCAGTATTAACTCTGTGTGAGGGGAATCAGAGACGAATTTAGGACACAGGGTCCTTCTTTCTCTTTCCAATGGCTGCATGCATCTACCATGTTTGGACCTTTGAGAAGAAACCTAGTCAGTGCGCTGGGTGAAGAAAGACTATATGGGTGTGTGGAGAGAAAGGAACCCTCCTCCACTGTTGTGGAGAATGTAAACTGGTTGTGTAAATATAAACTGGTACAACCACTATGGAGAACAATACGGAGGTTCCTCAGAAAATCAAAAACAGAGCTACCACAACACCCAACAATTCCACTTCTGGGTATTTATCCAAAGAAATGAAAACATTAACTCAGAAAAGACATATGCACCCCCAGTGTTCATTGCAGCATTAGTGACAAAAACTACAATATGGAAAGAACTTAGGTGCCCATCAACAGATGAATAAAGAAATTATACATACATAAATATATATACGCACACACACAAGGGGCTACTACTCAGCCATAAAAAAGAATGAGATCTTCCCATCTGCAACAACATAGATGAACCTAGAAGGTACTCTGTTAAGTGAAATAAATCAGAGAGAAAGGCAAATTCCATACAACTTTACTTAAATCTGGAATCTAAAACACAAATGAACATAATGAAACAGAAACAGACTTATAAATACAATCTACAAAGAACAATCTTGTGGTTGCCAGAAGGGAGAGTGACAGCAGAATGGGTGAAACAGGGGAAGGGAATTAACTTTCACTTACAAAATAAATTAAGTCACAGGGATGTAATGTACAGCACAGGGAATATAATCAGTAATACTATAATCGCTTTGTACAGTGACAGATGGTAACTAGACTTATTATGATGATCATTCTGTAATGTATAAAACTGTCAAGTCACTCAGTTCAGTTCAGTTCAGTCGCTCAGTCGTGTCCAACTCCTTGCAACCCTATGAATCGCAGCACACCAGGCCTCCCTGTAGATCAATTTTACTTCAAAGAAAAAAATAAAAACAATAACCTCCAAAAAGCAAAAAAAAGAAAGTACATGGGTATCCCCACCCACACACAGACCCAGCAAACTTAAGCTCACAGGCTTGGTCCAATCTGTGCTCCCAGGTCAGCATTCCTCTCAGGAAGGGAAGAGAGAAGAAAACAGAAGGGATTCACAGCACCCCAGCAGACACTTCCTAAGCCTTGGCTATCCTCGTGCTCCTCTGGCACCATGCATACATCATGTCCTGTTTGGGCCACCAAGCGGGGCTCCACGAGGAACAGCTCACTGCTTCTCACGCCTTTGTGCTTATGCTGATTCCTCTGCTTTGAAAGCAGCATCCCTAGAGCCTTTAGAACTCAGTTCAAATTCACTTCTTCTGTGAAGCTTGTTCCCATACCTCCAACCTGTCCAGGTCAAATTGAATGCCCTCTTCTCTGCAGTTTTCCAGCACCCTATTATGGAACTTGCACCCTGCCTACTTGCTTTTCTGTCTCCTCCACAGATTGTGAGAGCTAAGATAATACCTTATCTCTTTATACCAGTGCCTACTGTAGTGTTCCTATAAATGGTTAAGGACTAATGAGAGGTGGAGAGAAACAGCAATGGATTCTGCCATAATCAAGTGGCTCCTAGGAGGTTAAAAAAGAAAAAAAAAAAAAAACACCACCTATGGGGATTCCAAATTGGGCACAAAGTCCAATAGCACCTAATTGTCAAAAAAGCAGAAAATACTTTGATTTCAAAGAACCACCTGAGAGCTGCCCTACCCTCCCAAAGGTCAGAATGTCTTCCTTGGGCAAAACAGGCTCAACACCTACCCTGTGACTGGTTAGCTGCCCCTGCAATGGCTCACCAACCAAGGGCCAATTCCACACTACAGCTGCTTACAAATCAGCATCAGATTTCTGGCCTGATTCAAAGAGGCTGATATTTGCTGAAGGGCTAAGAGAAAGAAAGCAGTAGACAGAAAATCCTGTCCTTAGCAGTGTGGCATTTAAGCCTTTGGCTTCTCTTAATTCAGAAAAGGGTACATCCAAATACATACATGAACATGGCTTCCTGATGGGCAGGTGGTGGGAAGCACCTGGAAGGACAGTGAGCTTTTGGCTCCTCTTCTCTGACTGGCCCTTTATCTGCAACCATCTGACCTCTCAGTACTCTGGCTCTGAGCTTTCCCAGAGGGTAGAGCTGTACAGGATTTCTTAAGGGACCGAACATGATAATCAGATCCACCCTCCTCCTGTGAACTCTCATCCCTGCCTAATAAACAACCCTTCTGATCCACTGGTTCCCTTGTGCTTTGCCCCAGGACACATTCTTCTGCCACAAGGACATTTAAGTCTCAAGCAGAGTGGCTCCTCAATCCTCAGCATAGCAGGCCCCAAATGTGATGAGATCACTTGGGTTAGAGGAGCAGATACTCTGGGAGGATGGTTCCTTGAGGAAACTCACCCACCCCCACATCCCTAATCTCTTTATTCAAACTGTCTCTGAGAAACTTGTTTATTAGGAGCCCAAAGTTAACAGAACAGGATTAAATTCATCTCTTTTTGGCTTAACAGTTATGCCTGTTTTGTGTAGTTAAGCTGTGACTCTTACAGATAGAACCTATATATGTTTTCTTCACATTTTTTGGCATTTTCCAAGTTGTGAATCTTTGACTTGGACACATCCTATTTATAATTTATTGTGTACCCAACCCAAGGTTTCTGCAACTCACCGAGAGCAACAGACAGCAACTGAACTATCTTGAACGACAGCCCCATCTAGTGACTAGCCTGCAAGTTGTCCACCCGTGTGTTTTTCTAATCCCATCTTTTCTTATCCCATAACTAAGACACAAACATCTAAGCCTGCCCATCCCTTGCTGCTCAAATATTTCATTCTGGCTCAACTCTTTCTTACATGTTTATTATCTTTAGCTTCTTATACTTTCCCCCATTTCTTCCACCTCCTTCTTAAGCTCAAGAATCACATACCTGACTCTTCTGGATCCAAAACACTCTTTAAGTCTGTTGAGGGGACTCACCTCTTTTCACACTCACTCACCTTTTCGTTCCCTGATGAGGACAATTCGTCGTTCTTTCACTTCTGAGTTCAGATTGTCTACCATCTTACTAATGCAATTGTCCAGAACCAGGGAGCGGGTTTTGGACTTGATGTCCTTCCGACAAATGGGGCATTCTACTTTCCGCTTCATCCACTCATTGATACAATAGGAGCAGAAACTATGGGCACAGTTCAAGGTGACAGCCTAAAATGGAAATGTGAACACACACATCAGAACTGTGACGCTTACTTCCCCAGGGCCGCTGTGATCTCAGAGTTAGGGAAGGAGTTAGTTCTCAAGACCAAATGGAAATTTAACCATAACTTCATCTAGAGGGCTTACAAAGGGTATCAGAATCATTCCTAGGAACGTGAAATTTTAAGCTTTACATTAGATGATTTGTTTTTTCTCTCAAAGTTAAGTTCATAAACTCAGGCTCCAGGTAGGGTGATTTGTCTTATTTTGTTCCACCAACTCAGTTCACACTGCCAACATGTGTTAGCTACCCTGCAAATAAATGTCACTGGACTTAAGTAGGACTAGAAAGCATGTGAATGTTTGGTATAAATACATCACTTATTCTCTCATGAAAAATAAATTTACATCCTAATGGTGAATTAGAATCTCAATTTTAATTCACACAGTGAATACTCAGTATACCAAATGGTAGGAGGTATAAAAGTATATGTAAAAGAACTTAGGCTATGGAAAAAGAATAAAAAAACAAAATCGGAAAAAATGTAATGGGTTCAACTGACAGTGCCTTAAGTAATATCAATAAGCCTATGAGAAGAAAGAAAGCAGAAAAAGGTCCGTATTTGAGGGGCTCCTGAGTAACCCCAATGGTCAGCTTTCTGCCAAGGTCTTTATCACTTTCCAAAACATAAACCATACTCTTCATTAGTCTTATTTTTGTACATCTCCTAAGATATAACTTTTCCTGGAGCGCAAAAGTTTTCTTTCTTGCTTTTAGGAAAGCAGGAGGAAATACCACAAACTTTGTATTATTTTCCAAAGGCCAAGTGAAGGCCAGAAAGCCAACTAGGAGACATTCCAAGTAAAGAATGAGACATACAAAAAAAGAAAGTAAAAATAAAGAAAGACAAAATTCTCAATAAACAGGACTAAAAACCTGCTTGACTTAAAATGAAATCTCTTTCCCAACACTGATTTTAAGAGATGACCAGCAGGAAAGGTCAGCACATGCTGTAAACCAAACAAAGATCAAGTTATTTGTCTCTTACATGTCGTGCAGATGCTCTGGGTTGGCTAACTCATCACTCATTCCAACCCCTTTTCTTGTCTTCTTCTATTAAGGTGAGTAAGTCATGCTGAAACAATACTGAGTTTCTCCAAAGCAGGGAATCAAATGACTAGAAACTATGGGGGAAATTATGATCTAAAGTCAAAGTAGATCCAAAGCAAAACAAACAGGTCTATCCAGGACAGATTTTTTAGGAGGCTGATAGACCCAATATCCTTAAAGACCACCAGAAAAAAAGGAAGCTGTGTGTGTATGCATTTTCTTTTTAAATGAATCTGAAAAGCACTATCATTTAACAACTTTAGTTTAACACTTATTGTGTAAGATGAACTGGACACAAATGGTAGAATTTGTGAAAATAAGAGTCTGTGCAAAAACAAGACAGGGTAACAAATGAAATCCTAGGCGTGATGTTTCATTTTCTTAAGGAGCCTCAGAGTCCCTGAAAAATGTTCCATTGGGCCACTGAATCCCCAGTGATTATACCGCAATGACATTTACCCCCTTGTTCAAAGGCTGCACTGCAAACCCACTCTCAGCACTGTGTCCTTTCAGAACAAAGAAAGACTAGCTTTACTGAGTAGCTTTATTCTGATACTTCAAATTTCTAATGCCATCTAATTCAGGAATCTGCCAGAATCAAATGGCTCCCAGGAGTTAAAAAAAAAAAAAACAACCTGCAGGAGCTCAACACTAGGCAAAAAAAACACGACAAAAACCCAACAGCATATAGTTGTTGGAAATGTACGAAACACATGACATTCTGACCTGTGGGAGGGTGGGGCAGCCCCAGATGGTTCTTCAAAAGCAAAGTATTTTTCCCTCAACAACAAAAAGATAAAGGCTTTATTATAGCCCCAAACACTGATTCTGCCAAAAAAAGAACTCAAGAACAAATGAAGTAAGAAAAAAGTCAGTGGAGGTAAAGAAGACCACAAAGACAAGTGAGAAGTGGCCACCTCCAGCAGCCACTTTGAAGTCAAATAGCTATAGTAAGTTCCTGGAGGGAAAATCTCTTCAGAATGTTACCCTAGAGCAGAAGCAGTCTGTGTACCTGAGGCTCCATTCAGGAGTGGGAGAGTGAGAAGGCGTGAGCCACTGCTCATCATTACCTCAACGAAGTATTCTGAGCAAATAATACACTGGAGCTCATTCTCTAGCACGTCATTCATGTGGCTGAGAACTTCCTCCTTCTGTGCTTGCACCTTCTCCTTCTCTTCCTGCAAAGACATATAACCCCACCCGTCATTCGGGAGAACTAACAAGAATGCAAAACAGGACAGAGCAGGATTAATAGTCTGCAGTAGGATTCAGAAAGAATCTAAATTAAAAATTTACCCTGGTGTAGTAACACAAGAATAAAATTCTTGCCCCAAGGATTACTGCTTCTCAGAACTGCTTTCTAATATAGAGCACTGTCGTCCTTTTTTTTTCCTTTCTTGACTTTATGAGTATGTATTGGTATCGCAGTTTCAGTCTTCTTCCCAAAAATAACCAAATGAGAAAAACGGAAGTCAGCATACCACCCCCACCAACCATTCGAGGCCAGAACAAGGCATTAGGTATTCTATAGCACACTGCAGTTCGGAGGGGATACAAAATCATCCTAAGCAGCCAAGAGCTCACTGGATAAGAAAGAAATGAGGAACAGTCCCTAAAGGCAGGAAGCTTGAATTAGTGTATAAGGTCCTCTGTGTTCTTTGCAGCTGTCTCTCCTACAAAATAAGGTTAACACCCAAGGTGCCTGGAGGCAGGAGGCTGGAGAGATGGCCTGTTGAAGTATCTTCAGGCCTCATGCTCTGTGATGCTTGTTACTTCCCACTCCTGCCATGCAATTTCCCTGTGCTTTCCCCAGAGGCAGACTGCTTGTGGACCTAGGTGTGGACCTAGACTGCAAGGAGGACCTAGGTGTGCTCTCTTGAAGTCAACATTTATTAAGTGCCCCTAGGCAGGAGAGGAAGAGCCAAAAGAGGGTATATTTGAGAGGTTATTTTTCATGTTTTATTTTCTCTTCTTATCAAAGCAAAGATTGTGAGACTAATCAGGACAGTGAAGAGGGAATAGACCCATTTATAACTAGAGTCAAGTTCCTTGAAAATTTTTGAATTGCTGGATTTAAAAAGATGTGGTGGCGTCTTAGAGGCTGGGGAATAAAGTACTATGTGATTTAAATAGAGGATAAGGATAGCAAACCAAGTGGAAAAAGAGTCCCCTCCTTTCTGTAATCTGCTCCAGATGTGAACCTGAGGAAGGGTGGGCTGAGAGATGTAGTCAAGACTCAGGCATTCATTTCCCATCAGAGGATGCAAACTGGTGGCCTGTGAACTACATCCAGCCTATAGATTTATTTATTTAGTTTGGCATTCATGGCATCAAAAAACTGAACCTGTTGCTACTACCTGAAAATTGGGATACTTCACATAAACATCTGGATTTCCATTTTCTGTGGAAAACTCAGATCTAACAACACTGGGCCTTCACTTCTGGCTGGCGACACCTGGCTGCTGCAGAGAAGAGCTGCCTCTTGGGGTATGGGTGAGGATGGAATTCCGCCTCACAGCTCCCCACTGTGTTCTCACACCCAGGCCACTTTATTCACTTCTATTATCAGTCTGACTCCAGGGGGCATTTGAGTCTACAGCCCCTAATTTAAGAGTGTCACTGATTTGATGTGAGAAATAATTACACAAATGCATCAAGATGAACTACTTTTTAGTTTGATTACACCACCCCTTAGCCTATGTGAGTGAGACACTCTGAAGGAGCACCTACCACAGACAATGGACTAGACTGCAGGATGCACATTCCCAGCATTTCGCTTCTGAATGAGGGAAGGAAACACGTTGTCTTACAGGCAGAACCTTTTACAGGCCTAAATAATTTTATAGATTATTTCCCTTGAGGCAGGGAATAGCCATACCTCTCCCTTCATTCACCAAAGCAATCCTTGCACTGTTGAAAATGCTGAATTGCATGTACTAACCAAATTCTAAACCTTCTTCTTTCCAGTACCTTGGTCTGCTCCAATTCTTTGTCCTTGGCTTGAATGATTGCTTCAAAGTTCTTCTTGCTGCGATTTAGCTCTTCCATCAGAGCCCGATACTGCAGAAACACAGCAGATACATACTCAAGATGCGCAGCACTATATTGTTCTTTTTAGCCACCATGCCTGTCCCTCCCTCTGTCAGCAGTTTTGGTTCAAGAGATTAATGGATTGGGCAATTTCAAAATAATGTTCCTGTTTCTTCAAGACATCCCAGTTATGGAGAAGGAAATGGCAACCTACTCCAGTATTCTTGCCTAGAAAATTCCATAGACAGAGGAGTCCATGTGGTCACAAACAGGATATGACTGAGCTACTGACCATAGGGGTAAGAATGGGAATCATCACTAACTGTTAATTAGTAAGAGGAATCTTATTGGGGGAGATAAAAATGTTACAGAACTTGACTGTGGTGAAGGTTGCACAACTAGGTAAGTTTAATGAAGGTCACTGAAGTGATCCTCAATTCCACTCCTGTTTAAGCATCTGGGTTCCCTGCCATAACATCTATTGCCACCCATATCTAGAATGAAGTGTTGTCTTGGAGCCTGTTGTACATTTAAAAATAAACTTTTTAAAAAGGTCATTGAACTGTACAATTTAAATATGGAACCTAAATTATGCCTCAATAAAGTTGTTTCTTTTTCAGGAAAAAAAAAAGACATCCCAGTTAAATGCCTTTTTTTTTTTGTTTTTCAGGGAAAGGAGCAGATAGGGAGAAAAACCATCAAGTCTATTACTCCCTCTGGAAATAACCCAATCTTCATGGTCATCCAAAGCAACTGAAGAACTTCTACAGAGTCTGACTTTGTGGGTTTGGCTTGGGGCCCAGGGATGTGCATTAAAAAAAAAAAATTATTGGAGTATAGTTGATTTACAATATTGTGTTACCTTCTGCTATACAGCAAAGTGAATCAGTTATACATATATATGGGATGTGCATTTTTTAAAAGGCCACCCAAGTGACTCCAGGAACCAATGCTGAAGAACTAGTAACTAATTCTAAGCCTACCCAGCACTGGGAGCAGCTTGTAAGAAATAATCAGGGATATACAGGATTCAGGAAAACTAGGTAACTGTTCTCACTGAAATTAAAAAAAAAGACCTTTAACCTATTCACTCTATAAATCACTTACTATGTGCTGATAAGGCAACACTGCCTGAACCCTGCCTTGGTATTCTGGAAACTGGCATGTCCAAGAGCTAATGGCTCATTTACCATGACTCACTGCCTACATCAAATGTCAAGAAGTTCCATTTCTATGAAACATAATTTCTGAGCTCCCTAATGCTTAAGTATAGATTATATTTTAAATTTCATTTCAGATCTTCTTTTAAAGAAGGTGGTTAAGTATTCTGAAAAGTTATCACTCAAGAAATACATTTTAAAATGTGTGGGCTAACAAAAACAAAAAAGGCAGTTATATTAGAAGTCTTTAGTATTCACCTTGACTACTAATTAGATGCCTGTGCCTTAACTTTCTTATCTATAAAATGGGAAAACAGGTGCCCCTCCTACATCAGGGTTAGTTAGAAAAAACAAACACACACATGAGAGCACTCAGGAGAGTTTTAAAATCTCTACATAAAGGCAAGCTGTTATAATTATAGGTCTGGAAAATGAAAAAGAACAGCTTCAGAAGGACTATCAGGTGGAACAAAAAACCACCATGTTTCATTTGAGAGTAGTAAGTCCCCCAGGTATGTTGTCAGAGAACCATGACCTGAAAGTATCCTATTTTAGGTTAATGAAGGGAGATGGGCCAAGAGCCTTATGCTAAATGATAAGTGTTTTCCAGTCTATCTCAGAAGAGTGTAAGGCGTTGGGGGTGCAGGGTACTTAATGATCCCTCAAGGATTTTCAAGAGCAGAACCTTCCTCTTTTCCAGTCAATTTTATTTGAATATTAATTTAATAATCCTCTAAATGGGAAACATGCCTACCCCCCCAACCTAGAAAATACACAAGCTTAGAAAATAAAATTCCAAAAAGATTGAATTTTTCACCTAATTCTTTCCAAGGCTGTTTGTGAACCCAAGGAAATCAAAGTGGGCAAACTCCCAAGCATGCAGGAATACGTGACTTAGCACTGTGAGAAGGTTGACAGATAGGTAAGCAATAAAAGAACCAAAGGATAAATTCAAAACAAATTCTAACCCAACTGCTCATTCTTCTCAAGAAGATATGAACACTAACCTCCTGACTTAAACTACTAATCATCACACATAGTTGATAGAAGACAAAGCAGGTTTTTAAGATGCAAAAGGACTCATTAAAAAATAAACAGAGTGAGGTACTAAAGTTAAATAAGTAACAGGCAATCTTTTAGGATAATTTTATTTCTGTTGAGTCTTGCCCGTTTAGTAAATTGATATGTTTCAGTGGCTGTTAAACTACAAATTCTCAACCTAACCTAAAATGCTTAATTGGAACATTCTTGAATGGTTTCAGAATGGCTTCAGCTCAGGAATAGTGAGGTAATGGAGGTGTTGCAGGCCCTGGTGGCCAAGTCACAGCTTGCAATTTCCCTCTGCTGCCCTCACCTTTCTGAATGTGCAGCCATTCTCCCAGAGAGTCTCCTAATTGCTACAGGCTCTGTTTCATCTTCACTAGAGCATCTCATGCTCAGATGAAGATGTAAGCTTTCACGCTGAGGTCTGGCATGTCTGTGAGGTTCCAAATCTCAGACCTGATGGTGTGAGCTGCTGCCACCTGCTCTGTCTACAGACTGGAGATGCTGCAGAGGGGGTGTGCTAAGTAGCAGAGGCAGCCAGTGGGCACACATGAAGCCTGGCTGCCCCCAACTCTGTCGCCCACTATAATCTCAGGACAATAGCAAGACATATGTTACCTCCTGCAGAGCCTGGGCCAGCTGCTGCTTCAGGTCCTCTTCTCCTTCCTCTTTCTCCAAACCCTGAAAAGCCAAAAACAAAATGGTAGGCCTCCCTGTAGAAATGGGGGAAAAGGGGCAAAATACAGTAACAAGCAGAGCTGACCTGCTAGCAGAAGCATCCGGAAACAACAGGGGGCAGGAAGGGAGTGGAAAATCTCCCATTTTACTTCAAGCTGTTGGCAGTAAGGGACTTAAGCAGAGTTAAACTGCTCAAACACTGCACATCTCAGGGCTGCCACCTTCAAGTCACCACTCAGGGTGTTCTGGAGAAACTCTGGATTAATATTCCAAGTCCCCTTCACTGGCTAATGCTATGACTCTCAAAAGGACGGAAACTCAAGAGTTTCTGCATCACTAAGTATCTAAATTGAAATACAATCTCCTGGGCTGGCACTCACAGCTCCGCCATGTTTCTTTCCTCAGTTCTGGCCACTGTCTCTCACTCAGAGTCTTCACCACCTCTGGCCCATAAGCTGTTCCTCCTCCACCTGCCTTGGCTGCATTTCCTCCAAGGGCCCCCTCGGGTGTGGATGTCTTCTACATCATCACTCCCCTACATCCAGCACCCTCCACGAGAATCTCTGGGTCCATCCCTCCTTAAGAATTACCTACCCGCTTAATACACCAACTGGAAATTGTTCTCTAATTTAAATCTATAGACTTTTGAAACTACTGTGATTATTTTGTGTGTATCTTGTGTCCTCAACAAGACCTATTCCTTAGTGACAAAAACCATTTATTAAGCATCTTTATAACCACCCAGACTCAAGTATAGTGCCAGGCAACTTGGGTGCTCAAAAAAAATTCTATGTGGGAATTCCCTGGCCGTCCAATTGTTAGGACTCTACATTCTCACTGCTGAAGACCTGGGTTCAATCCCTGGTCAGGGAACTAACATCCCACAAGCTGTGCAGTGCACCCACTCCCCGCCCCGCCCCCCCAAAAATCTGTGTGAAATAACATGGGTTTAATGAGCTTCTGAGCAAGCAGCATGGGTAGGATAAATTCTAGGGCTTGGTGACAGAGGAAAATGCAGCTAATAATAAAGGACTAGATACACCTCACTATGAGCAATTTATGTATGACCCTCTCATTCCTAGAGAAATTCCCTAAACGAGTCCTTTTTGCCTTTCTTTACCCTTTTAGTATGGAAAAAGACTTGACAGCTAGCTACATCTTGAAGCATGCCCAGAGCAGCCACAAATATTAATTAACAGTAACTCTTGTTATTGAACATATTAGCCTTTAAAGAGAGTTCTGCTCTGGTGAAGGTGTCATACACTAAATGTGTAGAGATAAACCTCCCTCTATTAATTTCAAGAACCAGTCCAGGCTGGAAAAGGGCAGCAAAAAAGTATACATAAACAAGCAATGTATACCCTGAGAAAGACCTACTTAATCCATGGCCTTTGCTAAGACCATCAGTTCAAGGGGATAGCAGAGCTTAGATGAACTCTATAAATTGTTCAGAAATAAGCCAACACAAGTGGTTGTTTCTTACCCTGAGTAAAGTAAAGGAAAGATAAAAGCTTATTCACTCCAATCCTGATTGGCCCTTCTTAGTTCTAAGTCAACAATGGGGAATTCTTGACATTCAGTCTTACCTGAGGAAGTGGGTGGGAGTAAATCATGTGGTCCTGGCCAGATGGGAACTGACATTTTGAGCAGAACCAGGATCAGCCTGTGCAAGAAGCTCTGTGCAAGAGCTTATCATCTAAACAAATGACTCAGGGATGCAGACACATTTACTCTCACCTTGACAGAGCTAAGACAGTCATTATTTTATCTATTGAAGAGGCAGACATCCTGTGCAAGGTAGCACTCAACCCAAGAACTGAGTGATGGTGCACCTGCCCCCTCCCATGTTGGCTACTCAGGACAGAAATTAACATTTTTGCCTTTCTAGTCTCCCACTTCCTAGGTTAGCTACAAAGCTAACGAGTAACAGGTAAATCAAACGCAGAGTAACCAGCTGACCTCTACCTGCCTTGGGTACAGGAATTTGGCTTTGACCTCAGAGCAGAGGAAGATTACTCATCAAAACAACTAATACTTTAAATGGAGTGTACTGTAACTTCTGGGTATCTTGACCTTCATCCAGCCTCTCTCTAAATCCACCTCAGCTCTGCGATGCTTCAGTTTTTACAACCTCATTCATCTTGGCTGGTTCTGCCAGTCCCCTCATCCCATGTTGGCAACCCAGCTCTGGCTCCTGATCTGATCGTCATGCAGACCTCAAGTTTTCTGATCACATTACCTCTCCTGTCCCTGGCACTAAACATATGGTCCCTGACCTAGAAACAGGGCTCTGGTCACAGGCTCACAAAGGGCCTGCCCACCCCAAGGGGCATCTTGTCCTTCCCTCCTGCGTGGTACCTGGAGATGCTGCTGCTCTTCCTGGATGGTCTTCTCCAGCTGCTCCACTCTGGCCTGCTGCTGGGCCTGCTCTGCACACAGCTGGGACTGTAAATCCCGAAGTTCCTGCTCCATTTTCACAATCTTCTTTGAGCTCCCTTTTTTGGTCTGCTTTTTCACATTCAGAACAGCTACCTGCTTTTCCTGCATCTGTGTTTTCAGCATTAGAATCCTGGACATGGTTATCTTAAACAGCTCTAAGTTGCTCTGAGATGCTGAAGGATTTGAAGCTTTCTTCTTCTTACGATGAAGCTCTATAACTTTTGCAGGGCCTGGGTTAACATGAGCCCCTGTGGTCTTCCCACTTGGCTCAAAAGAAGTCAACTTAGTATCTAAATATTCAGAAGGTGGACTGGCCACTTCACCCTTCCCATGTGACTTCACTGGCTGACTAAGTTCACAAGACAATTTACTTATTTTGGATTTCAAATTTGAGGGGCCTTCAGCTCCAGAACCCTCTAATTCATCCAAACTATATTTCCTTTTAGTTCTCAAGCCCTTATTTTTTTCCATCATCTGGTCACTTTTGGGGGAAAGACAAGGATAAATCCTCTCCCAATCTTCTTCGGTAACTTCATACTCATACTCTGCATTCTCCTTATTTTCCAGAGGTACCCCAAGCTGGATGTGATCTCCTTTATGGATAGAATAGACCTTTAAAGGTTCTAGACGTTCTCTGTTCAGCCAGACACCATTCAGACTCTGGGGAAAGGGAAGAAAGACAAAATAAGCTTCATGATTTTCCTCCTCTTAATGGAATTTTCCTCCTGCTGCTGCAAAACCTTCTGTCTTTTTAGGAAGAAAACCCTTGAGAACAAAGAAAAGAAAGGTTCATAAACCACCATTCTTAGAAACAGGATTCTTCAAATAGTGCTTTGGCTTATTACCTATATGACGTTCATGTCTTCAGAGAACTGCCTGTATAATAGGCAGGAATCACCTTATTACTGGAGGATGAATTTACTCAAATAAATGCAGTAGCATTAAAAGAAACTGAAATTGAATAGCTCTACTGACATAAACTAGGGGCAAAGGGCCAAGACTGGAAAAACTACTATTAGTAAAGGAAGTAGCATTCTAATGATGAGGTTCCAAGAAAGTCATGCAGGCACTATCTCTGGATGTGTGTGACCCCTGAGCACATTGGTGAAGTGAAAATACACTGCCCAGAACTCATAAACCAAGAAAGAAAGTACTGACACCTAGCACTGTGGTCAAATTGAAGGTGGGATCTGACCTAAATAGCCCCAGAGAGGAGACCCAGGTTTGATCCCTGGGTCAGGAAGATCCCCTGGAGAAGGGAATGATTACCTACTCCAGTATTCTTTCCTGGAAAATTCCATGGACAGAGGAGCCTGGCAGGCTACAGTTCATGGGGTCACAAAGAGTCAGACACGACTGAGCAACTAACACTTTCACTTTCAATGGGTAACAGAACATAGAGGTTAAGAGCCAGAGCTCTGGATTTATACACACTTAGGTTTATAGCTCATATGAACCACCCTGGGATTCTTAATTGCATGGCCTTCAGCAATTTACTCTTTGTATCTCAGTTCTGTCTGTAAAATAGTACAGTTCCTACCTCATACTGCTCCTGTGAGGAATGACTGAGATAATTCATGCAAAACACTTAGCATAGTGACTCACATATAACAAATGCTCAATATTTACTGTTGTGGTTTAAATCAGTCTGGAGATTAAGAGCATGGACCCTGAAGTCAGACTGCCTGGGTTTGTAATCTGGCTCCATTACTTAACAGCTGCATGACTCAGGCCAGTTTCTTAACTTCTCTAGACCCCAGTTGCCACATCTATCAAGTGGAAGATAGTAACAGTCTCCCTCATGGTGTCTGTGTGGATTTAATGAGAAAACACATGTAATATACTTAGAAAAGTACCTGGCACATGATAAGTATTATGTAAGAGTATATGCAAGTGTTCACTACTGTTTTCTGGCTCAGCTGATTTATCAACAAGCACTTCAACCCTATGCTCGGCATCTTGCAAGGTAAACATACCGAGTGCAAAAGCAGAAGATATGAAAACAACTTTTAGCAGCTGACTGTGGAAAGAAAAACACAAGGGCATATTTAAGCAAATGTGGGATTACATAGAACAGCCTATAAATGCAAAGGAATATCATGTAGAGCTGAGTTAGCTAAGAGATGCTAAGTGGGGATGACAGGTCCTAAAATAGACTTGAAGCAAATGCAGGATTTAAAGTTTAAAGAGACAAGTGGGCATTTTAACCCATATCAAGGACTTAACTTTGAGGGACAGGCCGGAGATGAAATTCACATCTGAACTGAGACTAAAGGTTATATTTATTAACAAAGAAGAGGAATGGAGACCAGAAGAAGAGTCAGTTTGAAATTATACAGAGGAAAACAGCCTCAGGGAAAGCAATATGACACAAGTGGCCACCTAATGCCAACATTTAAGAAAAACTCAAAGACAAAGACAAGGTTAATAAATAAAGAAGGTTATAGAAGTAGCCTAAGATGAGAGAAAGCAAGGATTCCCTAAAAAGCGTGGGCAAACTCTTAAGACCTTTGGCAGCCCTCCACTAGATCCTCTGCATTAACCTGCCTCCTTCAAAGCCCTTTAGGTCTGAAAAATAAGCTTTCAAAATTTTCCGATCACATGTTATCCTTGGATCCCTCTGTTTACCCATTAATCACTCCTTGGTGACACCTAGTGGTATAATCTGGACCAAAGGCCCAAATCGGGTTCGTTCACAAAGCGACTACAGAAAAGATGAAAACACCACAGCTATATAGGAACAATCAAGTACTGCCCAGGATATGATCTCAAATACAATGGTTTAAATAAATCAAACTCCTGTCAACACTTTCTTGATGTTGGTTTTCATAATCACCAGTTTGAACAATGTCAGCAGGAGCAAAGTAATAACCAAAGAAAAGCCTGCCCAATGTCTGAGTCATCAATGGAATAAGGGTGGAATAATCCTCAGCCCCTTAAATGCTAATTACTTCACTTGATGCTCAATCTCTGTCTAGAGTTTTAATCAGTTGTTGAGGACAGTGGAAACCCAAAGCCAAAAGCCAATGTTTCTGTGCAGTTCCCTAGATGATTTATGTAGCTCATAAATGGTCTCAGCCCTAACTGTATGGAGTGAAATCACCCAGAAACGTTTAGAACAAATAGCAGTGCCTGAGTCTCATCCTCAGACTGAATTAATTGGTCTGAGATGGGAACTAGGCATCAGGATTTTTAAAGCCAGGTTTAGACACAAACACCGTGTAGAATCATATCAAGACACAAGGTACCTTTACAGTCAACCCTTCACCCATTCCCAGGCATCTGTCTACTCATCTCGTCTCTACATAGGTCTGCCTTTTCCAAATGTTGTATAAATGGAATCATACACAGTATGTACCCTTTGGAGTCTGGCTTCTTTTGCTTAGCATGATGATTCTGAGATGTGTCCACTTGGTTGCATTACAGGAGTTTGGTATTTTTATTGCTGAGTAGTACTCCAGGGTATGGGTGTACCAGCTTATTTCTCCATTCCCTAGTAGTTTCTTCCAGTTTTTGGTGATTATGAATAAAGCCACTAGAAACATTTAGGTACAAGTTTTTATGAGAACATAAGTCCCTATTAATTTGGGGTAAATACCTAGAAATAGAATCACCGGTTAAGTGATTAACTGTTTAACTGTAAGAAACCGCCAAACTGTTTTTCAAAGTGGTGGTACTATTTTGTTTCCTCACTTGCAGTGTTTAAGAATTCCAGTTACTTTGCATGCTCATCAGCACTTGGTAATGTATTATTTTAGCATTTCTAATAGATGTACCAGTCAATATTTTAAAAAATTCTTTACCAGAACAAAGTTACACACATAAAAGGGTATAAGTCATAAATGTACAACTATATGAATATCACAAAGTGAACATTTCAGTGTAACTTCCACAAGGTTTAAAAAAAAAAAAAGCCACATTATCAGCACCCCAGAAACATCCCCATGCCTGCTCCTAGCCACTAACCACACCCTTTGCCCCCTGCCATAAGGTGACTACTAGCCTGGCTTAACATCACACATTAGCTTTGCTTGGTTTTTGAACATTATATAAATGGCATTCAGTTCAGTTCAGTCCCTCAGTCGTGTCCAACTCTTTGCGACCCCATGAACTGCAGCACGCCAGGCCTCCCTGTCCATCACCAACTCCCAGAGTTTACTCAAACTCATGTCCATTGAGTCAGTGATNCAGTTCTAACTGTTGCTTCCTGACCTGCATACAGGTTTCTCAAGAGGCAGGTCAGGTGGTCTGATATTCCCATCTCTTTCAGAATTTTCCACAGCTTATTGTGATCCACACAGTCAAAGGCTTTGGCATAGTCAATGAAGCAGAAATAGATGTTTTTCTGGAATAATACGTATTCTTTAGTGTCTTTTTCTTTCACTCAATATTATGTCTCTGAGATTTATCCATGTTGCTGATATAGTAGTCATTCATTCATATAGTGTTGCATTGCAAGAATATTCCACAGTTTGGAAAGTGAGGTTCAAGATGGCTCCTTCGAGAGCACCAAAATCACAACTAGCTGTTGAACAACTATTGACAGGAGGATACTGAAACCCACCAAAAAGATACTCCACATCCAAAGACAAAGAAGCCAGCTGCAACAAGACAGTAGGAGGGATGCAATCAGGATAAAATCAAATGCTATACCCGCTGGGTGGGTGACCCACAAACTGAAGAACAATAATACCAAAGATGGTCTCCCACTGTTGTGAAGGTTCTAAGCCCCACGTTAGGGGGATTTGATTACAAGACTTCCACAGGACTGGGGGAAACAGAGGCTCAACTCCTGGAGGGCACAAACAAAATCTTGCATGCACCAAGAGAGAATTTTGAGCATTACTTTGCTGGCGCGTGAGATGAGTGCAATCATGCAGTAGTTTGAACATTCTTTGGCATTGCCCTTCTTTGGGATTGGAATGAAAACTGACCTTTCCCAGTCTGGTGGCCACTGCTGAGCTTTCCAGATTTGCTGGCACAATTGAGTGCAGCACTTTAATAGCATCATCTTTTAGGATGTGAAATAAGTTCAACTGGGATTCCATCACCTCCACTAGCTTTGTTTGTAGTAAATGCTTCCTAAAGCCCACTTGACTTTGCATTCCAGGATGTCTGGCTCTAGATGACTGATCACACCATCGTGGTTATCTAGGTCATGAAGATCTTTTTTGTATAGAAAGAGCAAGACCCAGCTGAGCAAGACCCAGTTTTTCCCACTGCCAGTCCCTCCCATGAGGAAGCTTACACAAGCCTCTCAGTCTCATCCACCAGAGGGCAGACAGAAGAAATGAACCACAATCCCGCAGAGGCTAGAATGAAAACCACATCACAGAAAGTTAATCAGAATGAAAAAAAACAGAGGGCTATGCTCCGGATGAAAGGACAAAACCTCAGAAAAGCAACTAAATGAAGTGGAGATCAGGCAACCTTCCAGAAAAAGAATTCAGAAGAGTGATAGTGAAGATCATCCAGGATCTTGGAAAAAGAACAGAGAAAGATGCAAGTAATGTTTACCAAAGACCTAGAAAAACTAAAAAAACAAGCAAATAGAGATAACAATACATTAGAAGGAATCAACAGCAGAATAACTGAGGTAGAACAATGGATAAGTGACCTTGTGGTCACTTACACATGTCTCACATCCATAAAACAGAATGGTGGAAATCACTGCTGCAGAACAGAATATAGAAAAAAGAATGAAGAAAAAATGAAGACAGCCTAAAAGACCTATGAAAATGAAAAGTGAAACTGTTAGTTGCTCAGAGACCCCTGGGACAACGTTAAATGCAACAACATTTCCGTTATAGAGATCCCAGATAAAGAGAGAGAGAAAAGACACAAAAAATACTTTAGAAGATAATAGCTGAAAATTTCCCTAACATGGGAAAGGAAATAGTCAACCAAGTCCAGGAAGCATAAAGAGTCCCAGGCAGGATAAACCCAAGGAGGAACACACCAAGACACACAGTAATCAAACTGAAAAAAATTAAAGATAAAGGTAAAATATTAAAAGCAACAAGGGAACAATGACAAATAACAGATAAGGGAACCCCCCATCAGGTTATCGCTGGTTTTCTCAAAGAAAGCCTACAAGCCAGAAGGGAATGGCATGATATAGTTAATATTTAAAGTGGTGAAAAGGAAGAACCTACAACCAAGAATATTCTACCCAGCCAGACTCTTGTTCAGGGAAAACCTAAAACCAAGAATAATACTTTACCCAGTAAGACTCTTGTTCAGATTTAACAGAGAAAGCAAAAGCTTTCCAGAGTAGCAAAAGTTAAAGAGAATTCAGCACAACCAAACCAGCTTTATTTGCAACAAACACTAAATGAACTTCTCCAGGCAAGAAACACAAGACAGGGAAAAGACCTAAACAAAATAAACCTGAAACAATTAAGAAAATGGTAACAGGATCATACATATTGAAAATTACCTTAAATGTAAATGAATTAAATGCACCAACCAAAAAATATAGACTGGCTGAGCAGATGTTTTCATGTGCATGTATGCACTTCCACTTAACCACATCACTCTGCTTGACCCCCCAAATTGTATGTAATTATTTTATATTGTTAGATTAATCATGTTATCATTGTGATTTGCGATTTGTAATTATCTTTTATTTTTTGTCTAGCTATTGATTGTGAAAACTAATATCTTCTACTATTGTAAAAAAGAAAAGGACAGTGAAGCAAATAAAAGTGAAAATGACAGGGCCCCTCAGAATATTCATGTTCATCATTTCGTAATATCCATCACAGCTTTACTCCACAATCTGAAGAGGAAAATGAGCTTCCCAGATGGCTCAGTGGTAAAGAATCCACCTGCCAATGCAGGAGACATGGGTTCAATCTCTGGGATGGGAAGATGCCCTGGAGAAGGAAATGGCAACCCACTCCAGTCTTGCCTGGGAAATCCCACGGACAGAGGAGCCTAGGGGCTGCAATCCATAGGGTCACAAGAGTGGAACATGTCTTAGCACTACACAACAACAACAACGTATGTATGTATGTATACATATATACACATATATACATACACAACTTTAATAAATAATGACAAATATTTTCCCAAAATAGTTGTACCTATTTATATTTCTATCAAAAGACTACTTGGCTCCACACCCATGTAAATATATGGCATCATTAAAATGTGATTATAGTTACTCTGACTACAGGGTGTGTCGTGGTATTCCATCATGTATTTCACAGATCATTAATGAAGCTGAACAATGTTTCAAGGATACTGAACAATCAGAAAGAATCTTTTGTGAAGTGCCTGGTTCTTGCCCATTTTTAAAACTGGATTATCTTTCTTTTTCTTATTGATTTGGAGTTCTGTTTACATCCAGTGGCTCAGATGGTAAAGAATCTGCCTGCAATGCAGGAAACCTGGTTTGGATCCCTGGGTTGGGAAGATCCCCTAGAGGAGAGCATGGCAACCCACTCCAGTATTCTTGCCTGGAGAATTCCCATGGACGGAGGAGCCTAGTGGGCTGCAGTCCATGGGGTTGCAAAGAGTTGGACACGACTGAGCAACTAAGAGTGTGTGTGTGTGTGTGTGTGTGTGTGCGCGCACACACACACACACACACACACACACACACACATCCAAGTATAAGCCCTTCACTGATTATATCTTTAGCAAGTATCTTCCACTTAATCATGCTTTCACTCTCTTAATGATATATTTTGGTGAATGGAAATTCTTAATTTTAATGTGATATCATCAGTATTTTTTAAAAGTATCCCATGTATGGGCAAAATTGGAAACAGTTGAGAACCACTGCTCTAGCTGCTGGGAGGCGGAAAGCTGAATTGCTCCAAGCAGCAAGGTTTGTTCAGACTCAAGTGTCCCCAGAAGGGGTTAAACTAGATCATCTCTAAGGTCCCCTTTTCAGTGCCAATTTCTATTCTGCTCACAGGGCCTTGCCAAGAGTGCCGAACCAATTTACTTAGCATTTATGCTCTCCTTCAACACCATGCCAACTCAACTTAATCCTAGTGCAGGAAGATACTTTCTCCAACAGCTTAAATCTAGCAGTTTTATGCATGCAAAATGAGGCTGCTGGGCAGGCCAGCAGGATACCTGTGATAATCTGAATTATAATAAGAAATATATATATTTGGTATTCATGCCCATTTCTAGCACAGTTTCTAAAAACCCTTGAAATTTCCTAAGTGGTAAGAGAGATCAAGGTATCCTTTGTTATGTAAATGAGGTGACTTCTGGAATACCCCAGGGTCACCTATGAGGTCTGGTTGCCAGGGGAACCAATCCAGTGACTGGAGGGCAGGAACTTTCAGTCTATCTTAGTTAGCATCAGATTTCAGTTCCACCCCTCAAGCCCTGGGAGGGGAGAGAGGTTAGAGGTTGATCATCACTGGCCAGTGATTCAATCAATTACACATATGTAATAAAGTCTCCAAAAAAACCCCAAAAGGATGGGGTTTGGGCATGGAAGCTCTGTGTCTTTTCCCATATACAGTCCTAAAGGAAATCAGTCCTGAATATTCATGGAAGGACTGATGCTGAAGCTCCAATACTGTGGCCACCGGATGTAAAGAACTGACCCACTGGAAAAGACCCTGATGCTGGGAAAGACTAAAGGCAGGAGGAGGAGACAACAGAGGATGGGATGGTTGGATGGCATCACTGACTCGATGGACATGAGTTTGAGTAAGCTCTGGGAGTTGGTGATGGACAGGGAAACCTGGCGTGCTGCAGTCCATGGGGTCACAAAGAATCAGACACGACTGAGTGACTGAACTGAATTGATGCATCTTTTTCATGAGGATGTTCACTTGTACCCCCGACCACATACTTTTACAATAAACCAGTAAATGTAAGAAAATGTATTCCTGAGTTGTGAATCACTCTGAAGCTGATTGGAGAAGGCAATGGCAACCCACTCCGGTACTCTTTCCTGGAAAATCCCATGGACGGAGGAACCTGGTGGGTTGCAGTCCATGGGGTCGCTAAGAGTCGGACACGACTGAGCGACTTCACTTTCACTTTTCACTTTCATGCATTGGAGAAGGAAATGGCAACCCACTCCAGTATTCCTGCCTGGAGAATCTCAGGGACGGGGGAGCCTAGTGGGCTGCTGTCTATGGGGTTGCACAGAGTCAGACACGACTGAAGCGACTTAGTAGCAGCAGCAGCTGAAGCTGATTAATTAAATCCAAAATGGGAGGTGGCCATGGGAACCTCTGATTTAGCCAGTCAGCCAGAAGTACAGGTTAAAACCTGGACTTGCAACTGGCACCCAAAGTTCAAGGACAGGGTCCTTGGAACCTCCAACATATAGCCAGTTGAAGCACAGATGTTAACCTGGGGTTGTGACTGGTATCTGAAGTGGAAAGTAGTCTTGTGGGACTAAGCCCTCTACCTGTAGAATCTGATGCTATCTCAGGTAGACAGATGGGGGGTGCGGAGGGAACTCCCCCACACCTGTTGGCATTGGTCTCAGAATGATCTTAATACCTTTCCTTCTAACAAGTATCTTTAAAATCCTTTCAACCAGAGCAGTGCAAACTGGTGTCAAAAGACATTTCACACTTCCTAATCCTTAACTGGTTACAGTAGAATTTCTCTCACTTCATAGTCTATATTTTCACTGTATTTGCACTTTCGGTACAAACTTCACATATGCACTTTAGGTACTTCCTAAATTGCTGGGTCTATACATTATTTCAACTTCCTTAGTATTTGTGGTTTTCAAATTTGTTTCAAGCAAACAAACAAACAAAAAAAACTTTGAGGAAATCTTCCTTAGAGCACTAACACATAAAACATGTTAAAAGCGAGGGAAGGGGTTTGCCCTGATGGAAAGGAGTGAGAAAAAGAAGGAGTAAGTGTAGTCAGCTCAGTTCCCCCTGTTCCCCATGCCCTGAATCACAGGTGTACCCTAGAATCTTCATCAGATTCCCAAGGTCTCTGGACCTTTGACTCACAAGAGACAAAATTCACTGGTAACTTAGTCTAGTTTCTGGAACAGGACCCATTGCCCCAACACAGGTGTTCCTTTGCTGTTCAGTTGCTATGTCATGTTCACTGTTCTGTGACCACAGGGATTGCAGCCCCAGGATCCTCTGTTTGTGGGATTTCCCAGGCAAGAATACTGGAACAGGTTGCCATTTCCCTCTCCAGGGGATTTTCCTGACCCAGGGATCGAACCCTCATCTCCTGCATTGGCAGATGAATTCTTTACCATTAAGCCAACAGGGAAGCCCAGATGTTCCCTACAAAGTAACTTATTTTGGCATAATCTAACCTCTGGCAGCATAGAGAAATAGTCATTTCTGGGCAAGACAAGTGAGTAGCTATGGTAGAAGATATATTTTTAAATCTTTTAATTTTGTACCACATATTACCTTTGGGGAGGAAAAAAACCCTAACCTAAAAATAAATAGACAGGAAGGAGATTCAAGAGAGAGGGGATATACATATACCTATGATTGATTCACATTGATACACAATACTGTAAAGCAATTATCCTGCAATTAAAAAAAGAATCCAATAAAAGTAACTAGGCTTCCATGGATTACTCTACCTTGTTGTCCATAATTGTCCACTGGCCCTCAGCATTCTGCTTCAAAACACAGTGGTTTCGGGAAATCATCAGAGGGCAGATTTTTGATACCAACTGGTATGTAACACCAAATCCTCGCCCTACAGTCACCTAGGAAGATAATAACAAAGTAAGAGACACAATCAGCCACTGCACCGAAAAAGGAGGTCTTTTGCCATCTTGTCAACCAACAGTTATCCGCAAGTCTTGACTTATGAAACCAGACTCCCATGAAACCCAAATAGATCGCTGGCCATCTCCTCCTTCATTTGCCACTGGAGCCACTGAGTAGAAAAAGGCAAAAAGCTGTGACAAGAGTTAGCTGAACAGAGTTAGCCATGGAGTATTACGACTGGTGATGAGAGTCAATTCCTAGGCAGGTTGATAAGAAGTCAGGAGTCCTGGAGGAGGAGAAAGGGGTCTGGGGCTCTCAAAGCAGAGACAGGGGTCTAGGGTTCTCAAGGAAGAGGAAAGGACAAATTTTTTGTTTTCCTCTACATTTCTTAGTTTTAGTCACATAAAACATTTTTTCCTTTAAGCCAGGAACTGATGATTACATAACAAACAACTCAGTTTAAACTCTGTACTAAGGATTAAAGAACAACAATGTATCCTGCTTGAGGACAGTTTCTTCTTCCTGAAAACCTTCTGGCTAATGAGTTTGAGTAAACTCAGAGAGTTGGTAATGGGCAGGGAGGCCTGGCATGCTGCGACTCATGGGGTCCCAAAGAATTGGACGAGACTGAATTGAACTGAACTCTGTTATCTTAAAATGTAAATAATGGGAGTGGGTTTAGTAAGATCTTTACAATCTTGAAACATTCTTTTGATTTATTGTAATAACTAATTAAAAAGTATGTAACTCCCTTGCTAACACTGGCGGGGGGTGGTCATTCTCCGTCCCCTTCTGGTATCCACGTCAGAAGCTTTCCTGTCCCTTTTCACTTTAATAAAACTCTGCTACACAAAAACTCTTGAGTGATCAAACCTGGTTCCTGGTCCCAAAGTTAAATCTTCTTCAGATTCTGAAAGGCCACTCAGGATGGAGGATTCCTTTCTACACACCCCCATCAACTAGTCTTAAACACTGCCAAGAACTATAGCTTCTGTACAAGACAGTCTCTCCAGTTTTTTAATGGCTCTGACTTGGCCTCTTTCTTCCTATAAATTCCATTCTTTGGCCCAGGTTCTGCTCTGGGCACCACCAGAAAAATCTCCAATTCCCCTTTTCACATGGCAGCTATAAATTATTTACTGAATCTTCCCTTTTCTTGACCCTGTGTTTCCAATTACTTCGATGTAACTCCATGGCATAGGTTTGAGTCTTTTTGCCATCCTATGGGTCTGTGAAGAGACCCCTGGTTTATTTTTATTCCTGGATGCCACATCAAGAAAAATAAACCTAATTTTTATTACATAGCCGGATGCAAGTATCACTTTCTCAGTCCTAGATATTATCACTGGAACATATAAAATGCATTAGCTTTCATAGCAGATATATCACACTGTCAATGTATCTTTAGGCTTAAGAATAATTAAATTTCTTGGTCTAGTCCTCCCCTGAAAGAAAGAAGGAAAGAAAGCTGAGCACCAAAGAATTGATGCTTTTGAACTGTGGTATTGGAGAAGACTCGAGAGCCCCTTGAACTTCAAGAAGATCAAATCAGTCAGGAAATCAGTCCTGAATATTCATGGAAGGACTAATGCTGAAGCTGAAACTCCAATACTTTGGCCACCTCATGCAANAAGACACAGATAAAAAGATTAAAATAGGCTACAACCAAAGGCAAAGCTCTCAGGACAGCCTAGTAAACATTCTACCACACAATTTAGCAATCACCTTCAACAGTTATAGTTCAACCAAAAGATGAAAAAGAAAAAGTCCTTATTTTCCATCTTATCCATAAAGACAGGTTGCAATGAAATCCCAGTTCACATCTAACATATTTTTTTGACAAATCAGTTGAGTTCATAATGACCCTGTGAAGGAAGGAAATAAGATTCTTCTGGAATCCAGATCACAGAATTTGCTTTTTCTTCTTGGTACACAAGTCACCTCTTTAGTGATCTATAACCCCAACCTTACTTGGGAATATTAAGCCAAATAGTCTGTGGTTTTCTAAAAGCTGCCTCTTTTGTTCCTCTTGAAATTCTTTCAAAATCATGCCTGTCCTCAGTCCCTAAAAAACCACCACAGCTTTTTGCCCCAATCTATTCCTCCCCACAAACTCTCATCTCAGTAACTCACACTACCACCCAACCCACTGCTTAGCCCCAAACCCAGGAGCCATTCATGGCCCTCATCCGGATCCACATTCAAATCATCAGCAAAATCTACTGGCTGTAATTCAAATATGCCCTAAATCTACTCACTTCTATCAGTGGCCACTATCTTAATCCAAACCACACTGCTTCCTCTAGTTGGGCTGTTTTTGCTCCTGTGCTAGCCCCCATTCTTTACACAGTAGCTAGAGTAGTAATATAAAAACCTTAAACCAGGTTTTCCCCTTTCTTAAAATTCTCTAATAATCCAAACTTCCTTCCACAGTCTCTAAGGCCCTCAATGTCCTAACTCCCTCTATCTCTTCAGTTTATCCCACATGATGGTTAGAAACACTGACTTCTACCTGAGGGTATTTTCACCTATCTCCTCTGGTTAGAATATTCTTCTTTCAGACGTTTGCATGGGCTCCTTCCCATCTTTCAAGTTTCAGCTCCTCAGAGGCCTACCCTGATTACCTGATCTAAAGTTGCTGCCTGCTCCCTCCCTCGCCATTGCATTCCTTCACATTAATAGCATGTGCTTACCACAATCCAAAATTACATCACTTGTTTCATTTATTTTTGTCTACTTTTATTTATTTTTCTACATTTATATTTAGAATTTAAATTTCATGAGCAGGGACCTTATCCATATTGTGTACCACAGTATTTCTGTACTCCTTAGAGCCTCTTTCTGCTCAGTAAATATTTGTGAATAAATGGAAAAATAGAGAGATCTTGCTTATGAGTCCTCCTGGATTCCAGGAGATGGGTGTTTTTTAGGTCAGAAGTTGGAAAATGGGTTATTACCACTGGAAACCACGGAGCAGCAGCCAGGAACCTTACAAACCTGACTTGTTTGCCTTTACAATGTAGTGATCACCTCGACCAAAATCCTGAGTCTGAAGTTTCTCAGTGCTTTGACGTTTGCCAGAAATTAATTATAGAAGTTCCTCTGAGCACACATATCCTTTAAAAATGGAATGTTAAGGATTTATCTGTCACCCATATTCAATAAGAATTTCCATTTAGGTAGCTTTATTTCTAGCAAGAAAGTATTCAATATTCTACTTCAATATTTGAGGGGAGACAGACTGCCATTATGGGTAGCCTGGAGACAATAATACAAAAAAGGGAATAATGAGTGCTTTTTCTGAAATTGCCTATGAACTCTGAATCCAGGAAAGGAAGAAAACACTTTTTTCTCTTTCCCTTCNAAGAAATTTAAAGACACCCATTCAGGCAGATACTTTGCTACAGTATTTCCTTCAGTGAAAGGAGAGGAACTTTCGTTATCATAGCTGAGACTTTGGGGAACTGGGAAGGCAAGAAACTGACCTTACTCTGCTGTTGTAACTAAATGGTATCAGCATACTTTCTAAAATCTTGTGTGCAACATCTTGTGCTATGGTTTGGGGACTGTTACAATTAGCAAGACATCACGTCTTGGCTGTGACTCAAGCTCTGCTCATACACACTGCGTACTGTGTACGAACCACTTCCTAAGATCCGACCTTGAAGATGGCCAGGTCTATGAGGAGAGCCCCATTAGAGGTAGTCTCACAAAAAATTATCCAATAGTTTAAAATATGTATAGGAGCACTTTAAAGCACTATAAAGTCCCCTTTATAGAGGCTTTAACTCTTTCTGTCTGCACCCTCCCTAAGACTCTCACTGCTACCAAGCTACTGAGAAGCAATGAATTAATGCATCACAACTGAAATTTTTTTCTTTTTTTTTTTCTCATGGCGGAAGAGTTGGGTGGGCTGTGCATCATGTGGAATCTTAGTTTCCCAGTCAGGGATGAAACCCGTGCCCCATGCATTGGAAGGGCAGAGTGTTAACCACTGGACCATCAGGGAAGTCCCCATGGCAACTGAATCTTAAAGAATGAATTAACATGACTACTAAATTCCTTATAGGGTTGTGTGTGGGTGTGGTACATGTGCAGGGCTTGCACTAGGTGATGTGTGTGAACGTTTGGCCCTATAGAAAATAAGGTAGAGTTACTATTATGCAGGTGTTAGTATCGTCATTTGTTAAACTTCCCAAAAGTATGGACTTCCTTGGTGGTCCAGTGGTTAAGAATCTGCCTTGCAACGTAGGAGATATGGATTTGAACCCTGGCAGGGGAACAAAGATCCCACATGCTGTGGAGCAACTAAGCCTGCACACCACAACTACTGAGCCCACACGCCACAATGAGAGATCCTGCATGATGCAGTGAAGATCCTGCATGCCATAACTAAGATCAAATAAATAAATGCATAAATTAAAAAAAAAAAAAAAACTTGGTGACCCCATGAACTAGAGTGTGCCAGGTTTCCCTGTCCTTTACTATCTNCAGCCTTCTTTATGGTCCAACTCCTACATCCATATGTGATTACTGGAAAAACCATAGCTTTCACAAGACAAACCTAAATGCTGTCTAGGATTCTCATAGCTTTCCTTCCAAGAAGCATACATCTTTTAACCTCATACCGGCAGTCACAATCTGCAGTGATTTTGGAGCCGAAGAAAATAAAATGTGCTACTGTTTCCACTTTATCTCCATCTACTTGCCATGAAGTGATGGGACTGGATGCCATGATCTCAGTTTTTTGAATACTGAGTTTTAAGCCAGTTTTTTCACTTTCCTCTTCACTTTCTCCTAGCAAACTTGATTCTAGCTTGTGATTCATCCAGCCCAGCATTTTGCATGATGTACTCTGCATATAAGCTAAATAAGCAAGGTGATAATATACAGCCTTGATGTACTTCTTTCCCAATTTTGAACCAGTCTGTTGTTTCATGTCAGGTTCTAACTGTTGCTTCATGACCTGCACACAGGGTTCTCAACAGACAGGTAAGCTGGTCTGGTATTTCCATCTATTTAAGAATTTCCCACATTTCGTTGTGATCCACACAGTCAAAGACTTTAGTATAGTCGATGAATCAGAAGCAGATGTTTTTCTGGAATTCCCTTGTTTTCTCTACGATCCAACAGATGCTGGAAATTTGACCTCTGGTTCCTTTGCCTTTTCTAAATTTACCTGGTATATCAGGAAGTTCTTGGTTCATGTACTGCTGAAGATTTTGAGCATTACCTTGCTAGCATGTGAAATGAGTGCAACTGTACACTAGTTTGAACATTCTCTGGCACTGTCCTTTGGGACTGGAATGAAAACTAACCTTTTCCAGTCTTGTGGCGACTGCTGACTTTTCCAAATTTGCTGACATATTGAGTGCAGCACTTTTACAACATCATTTCTTGGGATCTGAAATAGCTCAGCTGGAACTCTGTCACCTCTACTGGCTTTGCTTGTAGTAAAGCTTCCTAATGCCCACTTGACTTCACACTACAGGATGTCTGGCTCTAGGTTAGTGCCCATACAGTTGTGGTTATCTGGGTCATTAAGACCTTTTTTGTATAGCTCTTCTGTGTATTCTTGCCACCTCTTAATCTCTTCTGTTAGGTCCTTACTGCTTCTGTCCTTTATCATGCCCATCCTTGCATGAAATGTTCCCCTTGACATTTTCAATTTTCTTGAGGAGATCTCTAGTCTTTCAGATTCTATTGTTTTACTCTATTTCTTTGCACTGATCACTTAAGAAGGCTTTGTTATCTCTCCTTGCTATTCTCTGGAACCCAGCATTCAGCTGGGTGTTTGTTTCCCTATCTCCCTTGCCTTTCGGTTCTCTCCTTTTCTCACCTATTTGTAAAGCCTCCTCAGACAACTGTGCTGCCTTCTTTTCCTTAATACTAAATAAACCACAGCTTGGCACTTGATTAGCCTCTGCATGGATGTTCTCAAACTGCTTCACTGTATAAAATCCTCCTTTTCCCAGTCAAGCAGTGAACTCTTTGAGAGTAGAAGCCATTATTATTTATCCCTCTCTTCCTATACCAAACAGTGTAAGTACTCAATAAATACCCGAGACTGAGCCGAGATTACCTAACTTATAGGAAAAATTTAAACATATAAAATTACCTAAAGACTTGTTTGTCTTTCACACAAATGTTTCCAAAACCAAAACGGTTCCCAGTCACCCCAAAATAGTCCCTGATCTAGCCATCCTTTCCAAGTAGATTGCATTCTCTCTTCCCTCTCTTTTCCATCATCTGTAAAACCACCACCCCAGTCCTAGCGGCCTCCAACTGAAACTGTGCCTCACCTCTCAAGTTGTTTTTGTTTTGCATTTATGACAGCATTGGAGAACGTCAGAAACGGCCTCTGGAGAGAATTCTCATATTTCTGAAACCCTACCCCAACCCAGGAGGTGCCAATGGGCAGTACCGAGGCTCACAGGAGAATTGTGGCCCACATCAAAGCGCCAATTCTCATGAACTGTTAAAGAAAAAGACACTTTTACGTTAAAGCCTGGGTATTTTAAGGGGCACTACCCCAAGCTCGCAATCGCTTTCAAAATAAACTTGAGAAAGTTTCTTCTCTCAGCAGTCCCCCGAATTTCCCCCTCAAATGCCGGGCAGCTCCGCCTCCCAGTTCCGCCACCCGGGCGGTCGCCGACGCGCTCCGTGAGACCCACAGTCGCCTTTCCCCTCGAAACCCCAGCAGTCCTCATAGCCTCGACGTTCACCTCTCGCTCTGCCCCTCAACCAGGCTCCTTCCCGCAACCCAGACACCTGGCCCAGCTCGCCCCTCGGGCCTAGGACGCTGTCAGAGGGGCCATCTTTTCTCCCGCGCGGCCCTACTTCCCCCGGACACCTCCCACCTGAGACCCTCCCCGCCCCCAAACCGCTCGCACCAGGCCCCTTTCTCCGTTCCCTCATCCAGGACCCACCCCTCACCGCTCTCCTCTACTGCTCCCACCTCCTCTTTCCGGTTCATCCCTCCCGCCCGGACGCGAGGCCTCCCTTGGACCCTGGCCTCCTCCAACCCCCTTCCCTTGCCTCAAGAAGACCCCTCCCCCTCACCTCATTTCCATCCTCCAGCAGCAGCCACTCGGCGTTCATCCCCACTCGTCGCAAGCACCAGCTCCGTTCACCCGCGCCGCCTTCCGTGACCAGGGAGCCGGGATCCCCCATAGTCCACTCAGACCAGGGTCGCAGTCAGCACACGGCGAGACCCTGACGTGGGTTCCCGCCGCCTCTCGGCTTCCTCGCGGGCGCCATACCTACACCCCAGACAGAAGCAGTTGCTACGGGCTCACGATCGATGTGAATGTGCGCTTGGACTCCGCCCCCAGCCCGCCCCGCCAGCGAGCGGGAGTCACTGCGCATGCGCGAGAGGAGGGCACTTGGCGGCCGGTAGCCCAGGTGAGGGTGGTCTAGGCCAGGTGAGGTGGTCTAGGCCAGGTGAGGGTGGGTCTAGCCCAAGGTGCGGCATTTGCCGCCCCCCCCCCAGGCACTCTAATGCTCCTGTCACACCTTGTACACCCTTTGTAGAACCCTTACCCCAGTCTTAGCCTCCCCACACTGGAGTCTCGTCTCACTTTTCCTCCTTATTAAAAATTTTGCTTTATAACGCTTTCTAAGTTATTTAAAATTATAACCTACTATTAAACAACTTTTAACTTGTGATGTTTTAAATCTATTAAAGTTGTTTTAAATAGCACCTCTTTTGCACCATCTCCTTTTTTTTTTAAACTTAGACTGAAAAAAAAAATTAAAAAAATTAAAAAGGAAGGAATCCCTTGTCAGTCTAGTGGTTAGGACTCCGCTTTCACTGACAGGGTAGCGCAGTTCAGTCCCTCGTTGGGGAATTAAGATCCTGCAAAAAAAAAAAAAAAAAAAAAACAANTAGATCCCTGTGCTATTCAGTAGGACTATGTGATTTATTCTATATATAGTAGTCTGCAGTGGCACATCCCAAGCTTCTAATTTATCTCTCTCCCTACCCTTCCCCTTTGGTAACCATAAGTTTGTTTTCTAAGCCTGTGAGTCTGTTTCTGTTTTGTAAACATTTGTGTTTTTGTTTAGATTCCACACAAAAGTGATATCATATGGTATTTGTCTTTCTCTTTCTGACTTACTTCACTTAATATGATAATCTCTAGTTTCACCATGTTGCTGCAAATGGCATTATTTCATTCTTTTTATGCCTTAGTAATATTCCATTGTGTGTGCACGCACGTGTGTGTGTGTGTGTGTGTATACCACATCTTCTTTGTCCACAAATGGATGAATTTTATGGTGTGTGAATTATCCTCAGCAAAGCTATTAATTAAAAAACAGTTTCAGACTCTTTCCTTTGATTCTCCAGTATGGTCTGGTAACTGCTCCCTGTAGTAACTATATTATAACTCATTGCCCCCTTTCATCTTTTAATTTTTCAGTATGTGGTTAACAATTTTCTTAAATTCTGTTGGCAGAAAATATATATACTAAATAATGGATCATTCAAAATGAGATAGTAAATGGCTAACATTTATTGTCCTTTAATACAGTTCATGAGATTTATACTGGGGTGGTTTGCCTTTCCCTCCCCCAGTGGATTGTATTTTGTCAGAACTCTCTGCTGTGACCAGTCCAGCTTGGGTAGCCCTACACAGCATGGCTCATAGGTTCATTGAGTTATGGCAAGCCCCTTCATGACAAGGCAGTGAAGGAACTAGAGATCAAATTACCAACATTCGCTGGATCATGGAGAAAGCTAGGGAATTCCAGAAAAACACCTACCTCTGTTTCATCAACTCTGCTAAAGTCTTTGACTGTGTGGATCATAATAAACTGTGGAAAGCTCTAAAAGAGATGGGGATACCGGATCATCTTACCTGTCTCCTGAGAAACCTGTATGTGGGTCAGGAAGCAACAGTTTGAACCCTGTATGGAACAACTGATTGGTTCAAGATTGAGAAAGGAGTACAACAGGGCTGTCTGCTGTCACCCTGTTTGTTTAATCTGTACACTGAGCACATCATGAGAAATGCTGGACTGGATGAGTTTGAAGCTGGAATCAAGATAGGCGGGAGAAACATCAACAACCTCAGATAAGCGGATGATACCACTCTAATGGCAGAAAATGAAGAGGAACTAAGGAGCCTCTTGATGATGGTGGAGGAGGGTGAAAGAGCTGGCTTATGACTAAATATTAAAAAAACTAAGATCATGGCATCCGGCCCCATTACTTCATGGCAAATAGAGGGGGAAAAGGTGGAAGTAGTGACAGATTTCCTTTTTGGGTTCTAAAATCACTGTGGATAGTGACTGTAGCCATGAAATCAGAAGACAATTGCTTCTTGGAAGGAAGGCTATGACAAACTTAGACAGTGTGTTGAAAAGCAGAGACATTACTCTGCTGACAGAAGTCTGCATAGTCAAGGCTATGGTCTTCCCAGTGGTCACGTATGGTTGTGAGAGCTGGACCATAAAGAAGGCAGAATGCCAGAGATTTGATGCTTTCAAACTGGTGCTGGAAAAGGCTCTTGAGAGTCTCTTGGACAGCAAGGAGATCAACCCAGTCACTCTTGAGGGAAATCAGGCCTGAATACTTGTTGAAAGGACTTATTGATGCTGAAGCTGAATCTCCAGTATTTTGGTCATCTGATGCAAACAGCCAACTCATTGGGAAAGCCCCTGATGCTGGGAAAGATTGAGAAGGAGAAGATTGAAGGAGAAGAGGGCGTCACAGGATGAGATGGTTGCATGGCATCATTGATGCAATGGACATGAACTTGGGCAAACTTCAGGAGATGGTGAGGGACAGGGAGGCCTGGTGTGCTGCAGTCCATGGGCTCACAAAGTGTCGAACAGGGCTGGGTGACTGAACAACAATAATATTTATTGAGAGCTAAGTGTCAAGTACTAGGCCAAGCAGCCTATGCACTTTATCCTGATGGCTTCTCATAAACAATATAATGATAGTGGCTACAATTATAATTTATACTTTAGGAATGATGAGAAAAGAGGCAGAGAGAGGCTTAATAATCTTCCCAGAGTAACAAATTACATAGTGGTGGAGGCTGCCAGTTCAGGTCCATTTCCAGAAACTAGTTTCCTAACTAGATTGCAGTCCCAGCCTGGAACATTTTGTCTGTGTGCATTTGAGTCAGGAAAATTGGTAGGAGCTGTGCCTGCACTCATGGAGATGCTTCCCTAAGCTTTGGATGAGCCTCTGTCCTCCTTCTCCCCTTAGTGTTCTGTCCCAGCAGCAGCAAGTGCACCTGAAGGCCATCCTGACATTTAGTTATCACGTCTCCTTAGGCCCTTCTTGGCTGTGACACTTTCTTGGACTTTCCCTGTTTTTGATGAATTTGACAGTTTCAAGGAATATTAGCTAGGTATTTTGTAGAATATTTCTCACCTGGGACTTGGCTCATATTTTTTTCATGATTAGATTGGGGTAATGGTTTTGGGGAGGAAGACCACAGAGATAAATTGCTGTTCTCATAGCACATTAAGGGTACATGCTATCGATGTGAATTATAACTATTAATGTTAATCTTGATTACCTGGCTGAGGTGGTGTTTGTCATGTTTCTCTGCTGTGAAGTTACTCTTGCCTTTCTTTGCCTGTGTTCTTTGGAAGGAAATCATTGCACAACCCACACATGAGTCGAGAGTGACGCTCCACTTTCTTAAGGGCATGGTATCCACATAAATTACTTGGAATTCTTCTGCAGGAAAAATTTGTCTCTTCTCCCCCACTTATTTATCAAGTCATTTATGACATCAGTATGAACTCATGAACACTTATTTTATACTTTGTGCTATAATACAATATCACTTTGTTACTCAAACTTTTCCCACTGTGGCTGTTGAGAACTCTTTCTATTGGCTACATTGTTTCTTTGGCATACTTCCATTATTGTGTTTCACTGACTGCTTTCTTACTTTCTAGCATAAGATGCTCTCAACTTGGTATGAGCCATTTCCCCAAGGAGCGCTGGTTCCTTTTATTGGAAAATGGTATTAGAAACCAGGATCTAGGCACCAGGTATGCTCATTGCTACTGGGATGTTCTTGCTTCTAGGTTCTCTCAACTGGCAGAGCAATGAGTATATGTCCTGGGAAGCCATACATGTGAATACTAACCCTTTTATATCCATATGGGCTTACCTTGATAGCTCTGTTGGTAAAGAATCTGTCTGCAATGCAGGAGACCCTGGTTCAATTCCTGAGTTGGGAAGATCCCCTGGAGAAGGGATGGGCTACCTACTCCAGTATTCTTGGGCTTTGCTTGTGGCTCAGCTGGTAAAGAATCTGCCTGCAATGTGGGAGACCTGGGTACCGTCCCTGGGTTGGGAAGATCCCCTGGAGAAGGGAAAAGCTACCCACTCCAGTATTCTGGCCTGGAGAATTTCATGGACTCTATAGTCCATGGGGTCGCAAAGAGTCAGATACGACTGAGCCACTTTCACTTCTATCCATATATCAATGAATATGTATGTATGAAAGCATGTATGCTGTGTGTCCATGCAATAACAAGTGTATATACATAAACATGCATATAAACATAAACATATATATCTCCATCTGTGAATTAAACATGTGCATATTGATGTCTTACAATGCTAATGCATTACTGCTGGATCATTCTTGCTTACCTGTGACCTTCCACTACTCCAAAAGTGAGAAGTCTGGCTCCCACCATGTGCCATCCATTTACTTAATCACCATTTCCAGTATACACGTACAGTGGTTTCAAAATTGTTAACCCATACACCCATGGAAAACAACTTTATCAGTTACACTACACAACTTACATGCAGGTCTTTTGCCTTTGGTCTGAAAGACAACTCATTTTCAAAGATACTTAGGTCAGCACCCTTTCCCCCTACCCCCTTCAGAGAGGCTGTCTCATACAGTTAGATTCTTTTGCCACCACCTGCATTCTATCTGAAATCCCCTGACTGCCTAAATGATTTCTTAAAATTTATATACATTCAAAGTTTCACTCTTTTTAATGCAAAGTTCTATAGGTTTTGGCAAATGTCTAGTGTCATGCATAGCATCACAGAGAATAGTTTCATCACCCTAAAAAGATCCCCCTTGCTTTATGCATTCAACCTTCTCCCATGCCTGCACCTTACTTGTCTTATTTAACTATATCACAGCCATCACTCCCATAGAAGTACATGCACACTGTCCTCCTTCCCCTTTGCAGATGTATGGTCCTCCACTGTGCTGATGTACCACTGTTTGTTGAACCAGTCCCTTACTGATATACAGTTGGGTTCTTTTCAGTCTTTCACTATCACAAATAGCCCTGCAATGAATCAGTAGGTACATTTTTGAGTA